GCTGTTGGGCCAGACCGACCTGGCCCAGAACAAATATAGTCACATACATTGTGTTTCCAGAGTTACTCACAGACCCAGAGTCGTATCCTGCTGGCCTTTTCACTAGAAGTTTTATTGTATGTTACTATTTCTCTCCTAGGAGGACTTCACCCCTGCACAAGAAAACCTGTATAATAGTAAAGCAAATCTATTTGTAGATTTAGAAAGTTCATCTTTTTTGAAAAAATCATCCATTAATTTGGTTTAAACCTGGATTGGAGTTTTTCTTTCTCAAAACAGATTAAAACTAGAAATAAAAGCTCAGTTAAAGCTGGGAATGGTGGCTCACGCCTGTAATCCCAACACTTTGGGAGGCCAAGGCAGGCAAATCACAAGGTCAGGAGTTTGAGACCAGGCTGACCAACATGGTGAAACCCTGTCTCTACTAAAAATACAAAAATTAGCCAGGCATGGTGGCGCACACCTGTAATCCCAGCTACTCAGGAGGCTGAGGCAGGAGAATCACTTGAACCTGGGAAGCGGAGGTTGCAGTGAGCCAAGATCGTGCCATTGCACTCCAGTCTGGGCTACAGAGCGAGATTCCGCCTCAAAAACAAACAAACAAACAAAAAACAACAACAAAAAAAACTCAGTGAAAATAGTTCAAATACCAGGAGTTTTCCATTACGCCTATTCCCTCCTCACAATTGAAGGTCAATGAGAAGGTAACTCATTTCTCAAACTGACCTGGATCTCTGCCCCAAGAAACAGATCCGTTTGCTGAGTCCGAGCTCATGGTAATGGCAAAATGGCAAAGCCTGTCTAAATCAAGGTATGCCTCTTCTTCTTCTTCTTTTTTTTTTTTTTTTTTTGAGACGGAGTCTCACTCTTACCAGGCTGGAGTGCAGTGGCTCGATCTCAGCTCACTGCAACCTCCACCTCCCGGGTTCAAGTGGTTCCTCTGCCTCAGCTGGGACTACAGGCGCGTGCCACAACGCCTGTTTTTTGTATTTTTAGTAGACACAGGGTTTCACCATGTTGGCCAGGACGGACTTGATCTCCCGACCTCGTGATCTGCCTGCCTTGGCTTTCCAAAGTGTTGGGATTATAGGCGTGAGCCACCATGCCCGGCCAAGGTATGACTTTTCTTAGTATTAGAGCCAGACCTTCAGTCTGGGATCATATCATCTGGGTTACTTAGAGATACTTTAAAAATATATTAATCTTCTTTTTTTTTTTTTTTTGAGACAGAGTTTTCTTCTTGTTGCCCAGGCTGGAGTGCAGTGGCGCAATCTTGGCTTACTGCAACCTCCGCCTCCTGGGTTCAAGCAATTCTCCTGCCTCAGCCTCCCGAAGTAGCTAGGATTATAGGCACGCACTATCACACCCAGCTAATTTTTTTGTATTTTTAGTAGAGACAGGGTTTCATCATGTTGGCCAGGCTGGTCTCGAACTCCCGACCTCAAGTGATCCACCTGCCTCAGCCTCCCAAAGTGCAGGGATTACAAGTGTGAGCCACCGCGCCTGGCCAAAAATATATATCTTTAAATTAGTAGTTAAACATAAATTAGTAGTTAAATTGTAGTATGACCTCTCTCAGCTAAGCATCTATACTATCAGGATAGTTTTAACATGAGTTGATGGAATAATTGTTCTCATTGTAAAAGAAACAAAAGGAAGGAAATTCATGAAAGTTGCCCTGCCACTTTGTATTTTATTTACAAATAGTTAAGCTTGTATATGAAATTTGTGAATAGCCTCTTTCAAATTTAAGTGTGGAGCTGCTTATGGTCAGTCTGTGTCTATCTCAGTGCCTGGAAATGTTTCTATGAATTTGTAATGCCTAAAAGCATAACACTTTTGCATTGCTGGTGCCAGTATTTAGGGTTTATGTATCCTCTCACCTAAGGAGAGCATTATTCTGTCATTCCACATAAACTCAAAACACCTATCTGCAAATCTGAATGCAGTCTGTTGTCTGCTATGTGTTGTGCAAGCTCTTGATTAGACTCTCTGGCCCCGGTCTCTTCCTCTTCTGATAATAGCACACCTGGTCAATAAACATGCTTCCAAAATGCCAACAATGGAAATATGGAAGTTCCGAGGTGAAGCTAAATTTGGAATAAATGTGAGTTTACATTTAGACATGTTGACTTTGAGGAAATGAGAGGGAATTCAAGGAGGAGCTATTGCAAGGATAGTGACAGATTATGAATACGAAGTGTAAGAGGGTAAATTGAGCCATGCAAATAGAGACCATATTTGGAGTCATGAAATTTCTGAATGGGGTCTGAGGGTGTAGAGCAATGTGAGCAACCTTCTTTCTTCTTTTTTTTCTTTTTAAACGAGGGACTCTTAAAAGTAACAGAGGTGGACCTTATTTTTGTAAACATTGAAAGTGAAAATAATGTCACTGAATTCAATGAAAAAATGTATGCTTTAGGATGATTTCGTAAAGTATGACTATTCTTCCTCCAGGCAAGTGTTTTCTGGCATTTTCTTGATACATCTCTGGCATGGGATTTAAGGGATGGATAGTGGAGGTCCGAGTGGAGAACTGAGAGAAGAAGGGGAACCAAAGAAGAACTGTCAGCTTTCAGAATGTTGGAAGAAGGAAGAGGGAGAAAATAAGCAGAAGTTCAACAAGCTGAGTACTTGTGAAAGAGATTTTGGGTTTATGTTTGAGGACTAAAGAGAATACAATGGAACTCAGGTGTGGCTCTATACAATGAATGGGTTCCTCTTTGATGTTTTGATGTTTTTTTTCAGAGTTGGAAGTAAAGGTTAGAATAACTTTTTAAAATTACTACGCATCTTGGCTGGGAGCTGTAGCTCACGCCTGTAATCCCAGCACTTTGGGAGGCCGAGGCAGGTTCATCACCTGAGGTCAGAAGTTTGAGACCAGCCTGGCCAATGTGGCAAAACCCTGTCTCTACTAAAACTACAAAAATTAACTGGGTGTGGTGGCACATGCCTGTAATCCTAGCTACTCAGGAGGCCGAGGCAGGAGAATTGCTTGAACCCGGGAGGCAGGAGAATTGCTTGAACCCGGGAGGCAGAGGTTGCAGTGAGCCGAGATTGTGCCACTGCACTCCAGTCTGGGCAATAGAATGAGACTCTGTCTCAAAAATCAATCAATAAAAATAAAATAAAACAAAAGAACTGCATATCTCTATATGTGACTGAGCAGAGTCTCAGGCATGTGAGACTCCAGGATTTATTAGGGCTACAAGAAGAATGCCAATGAGAAACTTGGCAATGCTTTTGAACCACTAAAATGTTATCTGGTCGTATCTAAGATGTCACAACACTGAAGCAGATTTCTAATCTTTTATAACTTAATTTGCATGGCTCTTTAGAGTTTAAATGTTTTCACATTTATATCTTATTTTATCTTTGGAATGACTTCTTGAATTATTATCATCCATAATTTGTAAATGGGGAAATTGAAGCTTAGAGAAGTAAACTAGAAGCATATCAGAGTTTTTAATTAATTCCAATCAATTTAACATCTACCGAGCCTTGATCTGAGTTTCAGGTTGTACTAGATACTGGGGATGCAAAACTTAATAAAATGTGCAACCAGTCCTCAACCATTACACCATTACTTTCTTTGCTTTTCCCAAATTCTCTCCCAGAGGTTTGATATCCACCCTTACCTTGGGTTGGGCCAGTTCATAGTGAGATACAACACTGAGCATCACTTACACAAACACCAGCTTACAGAAAGTATTGACTCCAGGGTACTCTGGAAGTTCCACACCTGTGATGTAGTTAGCAGAATTGCAAAGGTGGCTGGCTAGACACAGTGGTTCATGCCTGTAATCCCTATGCTTTGGGAGGCCCAAGTCAGGAGGATTGCTTGAGGCCAGAAGTTTAAGGCTATAGTGAGCTATTAGTTGTGCCACTGTACTCCTGAGTGAGACCCTGTGTCTAAAAATGAAAAATAAAAACAATTGCAAAGGTAAAGAAGATCAGGGAACTCTTATACAACCACATTAGAAGGCAATTCAGCAAAATCTAATAAGCTAAAGATATCTTTATCTTACAATCTAGCAATTTCACTTCTCCATGTAGAAACTCTCCCTTAAATATGCAAGGAGACGGGTAAATGAATGTTCATTGAAGTATCATGTATAACAGAAAAATAATTGGAAATGATGTAAGTTTCCATCCACCTGAGAATGGGTAAGCAAATTGTTTTGTGATCACACAGTGGAATACTACATATTAGTTAAAATGAATGAACTAGAACTGGAACTAAAATACGCATAAATCTCAAAAAATGTAATACTGAATGATAAAGTAGCAGAAAATACATGAAGTATGCTACTGATTACACTAAGTTTAAACATATGAAACAATACTAGATATTTCTATGTGTGATAAGCATTTTAGAATATTCATGGTCATAATAAACGTCATATTCAAGATAGTTGTTATGTCCTGTTGAGGAAAAAAGGATTATCATATAGCATGCAGAAGGCTTTAGCTGATTCACTTCAAAAAAAAAAGAATCTGAAGCAAATATTGCACAAGTTAATACTTGACAAAGATGAGTAGGGAGGAAAAAAGAGCTTGTCATTATTTTCTATATGTTTATGCTTGAAATATTTCATTTAAAGGTGTATATGGCTCCTAGACTGGAATTCTTGGCTTTTGTGATTTTGTGTGTGTATATGTGCAGAATTTTCTTTTTTTTTTCCTCTTCCCATGTTGAAATTCCATCCATTCTTTGATGACTAGCTTTTCTCACCACCTGATTGAGAATTTCCATGATGACTTTCTCAGTTCACACTATGTTCTCCTTTTTTTTTTTTAAGATTTATTTATTTATTTATTTACAGATAGGGTCTCGCTCTGTCACCCAGACTGGAGTGCAGTGGTACGATCATAGCTCACTGCAGCCTCAAACTCCTGGGCTCAAGTGATCCTTCTGCCTCAGCTTCTCAAGTAGCCAGACTACAAGTGTGTACTACCATGCCTGGCTAATTAAAAATTTTATTTATTTATTTTTTTATAGAGGCAGAGTCTTGCTTTGTTGTCCAGGCTGGTCTTGAACTCCTGAGCTCAAGTGATCCTCCCGCCTTGGCCTCCCAGAGTGCTGAGATTACAGGTAGGAGCAACCATGCCCAGCCTTCTCCTTTTTTAAAACCCACTTCTATAAGTGTGTAAAGTTCTCTTGTGTATATGTTTGTATCACTAGATTTTTTTTATGTTGTAGGCTAAATATATATTGTCTTGCGTTACTATTTGACTTGAGTATACATAAATCTTGTTTCTCCAATTATATTGTAAAAATCTTAAGAGCAGGGACAATGTCTTCAACTTTGTTAATTCTTTCACAGTGCCCAGCAGAGCCTGACCAAATACTTATTAACGTAAAGTGGTATTTTTACCAATAATTATAACCCTTCCTACAAAACCTTTGCATAGAAAGTTTAAAATAATAATTTGAGCTACATTTGCTTTTATTTTCCCAGAGAGAGAATGCTAATGAGCTGCGAAATGACCGAAGATCTGGCAGCAGAAGGGAAGAGAAAAAATAACGGGTTTGTATATTACACATTCTGGATAATCAGCTCTTGAATGATTAAGTGTGGAAAACGTCTTATGGGGAAAAGCAATTTTTAAAACTCATTTTATGACCATGGAATTGTTGTATTGGTCATTTCCAGTTTTCAGATGATCCTATGCCAAACTTACACATTATTTTGGAAAAATACAATTCTCTTATGATATGCCGTATAACCACATACAAATATGCCTTGTGATTATTCTGCCTTCACATCAATATTTATTGGACTAGATCTGGAAATGGTGGTCTGGGGAAACTAAGAAACAAAAATTATTCCACCTGTGGAACCAGGAAGGGATTTTGAAGAAAAAAAATTACCTTGAGTTCAATTCAGTCTTGGTACATCTTGTAAAAAGCGCCTGGGGCTTGAAGCAACCACTTGAAATTAAGGTTCGCCTGAAACCTCAGAATGAAAGGTTAGTGTGCACTAGTCCAGATGAAAGCTAAAGAGCACAGGAAATAGTAAGAGGTCTGGACTACATTGTCTCTCCTTGAAATTGAAAGTTGGGATCTAAGAAGAAGACACATTTAGGAATCAGTAGGGTTACTTTTAACAAAAGGGGCAATTGCCATGGTCTAGGTCAAAATTACCACCATTTAGTCCCTGGAGATTTTCCTAATGGACCTTTGTAATGATTTATTAAACCAAGTCACCATCTCCTGGTTCTTTGGGATAGGTGCTACAACACCCAACATAGAGTTGCCTAAATTAAACTTTACCTATGTCTGTATTTATGAGTGCATTTTAAACTTTGCAGTATATTTCAGGGAGAGTATATCTCTGAAAATTATTACTCCCCTGTAGCTCTATGTAATTTACCTGGCAAAGAAAACAAAAGGCACAAAAATACCTTGCAATTTGGTGGGAGATTATATATTCCTTCATGTTCACTCCATTTGTAGATATTAATGTTGAAGCAAAATCCTAAAGCGACATGACCAGAGTATTATTGCAGCCATCATGAGCCTTATCATTGATCTCTGCAATTTTTTTCTTTCCTCAAATAAATAGAAGCAGGAAAAATAATGGTATATAGAGAATACATATTATTAATATATTGGTCCTAAGTCTAAGTGTTTGTTACTTAGAATTAATTTCCCATGGAAATGGTGTAGTTAATTATGGTTACATGCCAAGGCTGGGCCACGAAACCTCATACAATATTAGTAGGTGCGGCAGGATAAATTGATTGAGAAACCATATTTTATTTTCTTGTCTACTGGCTCATCATGGAAAAACGAGACGTATTTCTTTTTCTCTTCTTCTCTCTAGAGGGCAGGTTAAGCTGTGGTGGTTTTCTGATGCCTTATGAAGGCAGATGATTCAATGATTTGGGATGGGAAGGACTCCAAGAAAAGGGAAATGGCCTGATGTCAGGAGAATTTAGGTCTCCTGAAGCTGTCTGGAGAGAACCAGACAGGAGTCAGTTTCTGTAAATGGTGAGGAGCTATGTCTACTCCCAAATAGAACAAAATGGTACAGATGTCCAATGGGGATGTCAGCAAGGATGTCTTGTCTCAGAAGTAATAAAAATACTAAATTACACAAGGATATAGTAAGCCAAGGGTGAATGTTGTAAACTCTAGGTCACCATTAAGAGAATAATAGAAATAGTTATAACTAACATAATATGGAAATAGCAAAAGGGAGAAAGGATAGTTAATTAAAAATAATTAAGCTAAATGACGGCAAGAAAAAAGATAAAAAGGAGCAAGTAACAAGTGGGGCAAATAGAAAAAAATAATAAAATGGTACCTATGAACCCAAATATCTCATCAAGTACCTTAACTATTAAAATTAAATATAAATTAATTATAAATTTAAAATATGAAATAAAAATGGCATAATACTCCACTAAAAGACAAAGATTGTCCTACTGGCTAAAATAATTGCATATGCTTTTTTACAAAAGATACAATAGTAAAAAAATAGAAAAAAACATGTTATGCAAAAGCTATCACCTCAAAAGCTCTTCTAGCTATACAGTAACATACAAAGTAGACTTTAAGGAAAGAAGCATTATTAGAAATAAAGTGGGATATTTTACAATAATACAAATATCAATCCATCAGGAAGATACAATAAGTCTAATTCTGTGCACAACTAGTAATATACTTCAAAATATATTAATTTAAAAATTCCCAAAACTACAAGGAGAAATAGGTCTACAATAACAGTAAGATCTTTCAGTAACCAATAAAAAAGTAGACACAAATTAATAAGAACACAAAATTTAAACAACATGATTAACAGGATTTACAAAATTGATATATATTGAATATTTCACCAAACAACTACAGAATTCACTTTCATTTCATATGAACATGGAACATTTACTAAAAGTGGCAATAACTTTGGCCATAAAGCAAGCCTCAATGTATTTCAAAGGATTGACATAATACAGAGTACATTCTTTGAGCAGAGGGGAATTAACCTAATGATATTTTAAAAACTAGAAAGTTTTCAAATATGTGAAAATTTAGCAGTATACTTCTAAATATTCCATAGGTCAAAGAAGAAATCACAATGGAAATTAGAAAATACTTTATTTATTTATTTATTTATTTATTTATTTATTTTTTGAGACAGAGTCTTGCTCTGTCGCCCAGGCTGGAGTGCAGTGGCCCGATCTCGGCTCACTGCAAGCTCCGCCTCCCGGGTTTAGGCCATTCTCCTGCCTCAGCCTCTTGAGTAGCTGGGACTACAGGCGCCCACCACTTCGCCCGGGTCTTTTTTTTTGTATTTTTTAGTAGAGACGGGGTTTCACCGTGTTAGCCAGGATGGTCTCGATCTCCTGACCTCGTGATCTGCCCGTCTCGGCCTCCCAAAGTGCTGGGATTACAGGCTTGAGCCACCGCGCCCAGCCTAGAAAATACTTTAAACTAAATCATAATGAAAGTATGACACAAAAAATTTTAAGATATAACTAAAACTGTGTTTTGGGTGAAATTTATTATCTTAAGGGCTAGAACATATAGCTTTAAACAAAAATTACCTAAGTATCTCAAGAAGTTAGAAACAAAATGCAATTAAACTTGAAGAAAGTGTAAGAAAAGTTAAGAGAAAAAAGTAATGAAGAAAATGTATAGTAGGCTGGGTGTGGTGGCTCATGCCTGTAATTCCAGCTCTTTGGAAGGCTGAGGTAGGTGAATCACTTGAGCCTAGGAGTTTGAGACCAGCCTGGGCAACAAAATGAGACCCCCATTTCTAGAAAAAATTTAAAAGTTAGTTGGGTGTGATTGTACATACCTCTGGTCCTGGCTACACAGAGGCTGAGGCAAGAGGATCACTTGAGCCCAGGAGGTTGAGGCTGCAGTGAGCCCTGTTCATGCCATTGCATTCCAGCCTGGTCCTAGGTGAAAGAGTGAGACCCAGTCTCAAAAAAAAAAAGGTACAGTAGAGAAAAGTCACTGAAAGAAAATAATGAAACTGGTAATTCCCTAGCAAAACTGATCACACATACAATATACAAATAAAAAGGAGGGAGGGCACATATTACCTCTATCAGACATTAAAAAAAAAAAAAGACACCATTGTGGACCCCACAAACATTATAAAGTTGAAGAGAAAATATTTTGGACAACTTAATATCAATAAATTAGAAAATTTAGATAAAATGGGAAATTTCTAGAATAACCCAATTTACCAAAAGTGACACCAAAAGAAATAGAAAACCCAAATAGTCCTGTTATGACATGACAAAACATGCATCTATGAATAAATTTTTAAAATAAAACAGGCTAAAATGTTTATGACCTTGTATTTCATAAATATTTCTTAAATACTATACACACACAAAAACTACACAAATACTACACATAAATACAAAAGAGGCCGGGCGTGGTGGCTCACGCCTGCAATCCCAGCCCTTTGGGAGGCCAAGGCGGGCAGATCATGAGGTCAGGAGATCAAGACCATCCTGGCTAACACAGTGAAACCCCTTCTCTACTGAAAATACAAAAAATTAGCCAAGTGTGGTGGTGGGTGCCTGTGGTCCCAGCTGCTGGGGAATCTGAGGCAGGAGAACGGCATGAACCTGAGAGGTGGAGCTTGCAGTGAGCTGAGATCATGCCACTGTACTCCAACCTGGGAGATAGCAAGATGCCATCTCAAAAAAAAAAAAAAAAAGGTATAAAAGAAGGCCAGGCACAGTGGCTCACACTGTAGTCCCAGCACATTGGGAGGCCAAGGTAGGATAGCTTGAAACCAGGAGTTTGAGACCAGTCTGAGCAACAAAGCAAGAACCTGTCTCTAAAAAAAAAAGGAAAAAAAGAAAATTAATAAATTAGACTTATGCAAATAAAAAATTTTGCTCTTTATAAGTAACTATTATGAAAATGAAACTGCACACCACAGATTGGAAGAAAATATGTGTAAAATAAGCACCTGATGATAGGCTTGTATTAAGAATAATAAAGAATTCTTACAACTCAGTAAGAAGTCAAATTAAAATAACTCAATTTCTAAAATGGGCAAAAGATTTTAATAGACATTTCGTGAGTGTCAATAAGCACATGAAAGCATGCTCAACATTGTTAATCATTGGGAAAATGCAAATTAAAACCATAACGAGATATCATTAGGTATGCACTAGAATGACTAACATTGACAAGACTGACAATGCTGAGTGCTAACTAAGATATGGAGCAACTGAACACTCACATACTGCTGATGGGAGTGTAAATAGCATAATCACCTTGGAAAAGTTTGACAGTTTCTTAAGTTAAACATAAACTTATAAGACCCAGCAGTCCCAATCCTAGATACCTACTTAAGAAAAATGAAAACATATGTATATGCAAATACATGTCTTGAATGTCCATTGCAGCTTTTTCATAATGGCTAAAAACTAGGAACAACAAAATGTCCATCAAAAGATGAATTGATAAACAAGTTGAGATATATCCATAAAACAGAATACTATTCACCAATAAAAAGTAATTAACTGGGTCAGGCACGGTGGCTCATGCCTA